TGTCAGACTGTAATGAGCTGCAAATAGTTATTGTGTAACTGGTGCGCGTGCAAGAAATACCGTTAAGTTGGAGGTACACGTTTTGGCAATCAACAAGTCATTGACTGACTCAAAACCGCGAAATTAAATGTTTCTACAGCATTTCATGTATGAGTTCAATCTATTACTTATTGGTGATTACGTTGATGAAAATTCTCGACACAGTGGAGATTCGCCCGTGGAATCAAGTCCCGGGAATCAAGTATTTTGTAAAGATAGTACCACAGCTGCCGGGTCCCATCAACAATATTGGCGACTACGATGACGGGCGAGGATGACCAATTACCGTATACGGCACCAGAATTGAAGTTATGATGTATGTGTGAAGTTTAAACTTGACCAGTCCAAGCATGTCAGATATATGAATCCAGAACTACACAGTCGGCCATTTTAAACTTCATATGAAAAATATAATGACGTGCATCAAGGCACTATTGTTTTCGATGAACGTACCATTGAAGTTTAAACCAAGTCCGTCCACACATGATTGAGATCCCTTTCCGACATTGAGAAAATGATTTTTAAGCATTTTTGGCATTTTGATGCATTTGGGGTATTAAAACCAAACCAAACGTGAATCGGACCATAGAGCAAAAGCTTGTACATAGATATCCAATATAATGCCTGATATATATGATAAGTTTGAACTTGTTCGACCCAAGTATGTGTGAGATATGGATACGGACGCACGGTCGTCCACAATTTTGGGGACTAATTAAGCTCAATAGAGTCGGCAAGATCATTCTGTATAATATAATCTGTTCGGTGTACTTTTACATCTGAAACATGTACCTTCTGCGTTTACAAAATACACGACCAAGCAATAGAAACAGTAGTATATAACAAAAAGTGATAACATTTAACTTTACTATCATTAGTATTTCACTCTTCCAGTCACGTCTATGGGGTGTAACATTTCCCCACTCAATGTTACAAATTAGTATTGTCGTTGTTATTTAAATCTTGTCAGCAAGAAAGCTTTTGGAAATTGTTTCAGTAACAAAGAATGGCAAGTTGAAACACACACTCACCCATGACAATTTTTGAAAGCAGCGGATTATTCGGCGAACTGTCATTGGCGCATTGGCCATGAACGAATGCGCGTTCGTCAGATAATTAATGAGATTCAAATTGAAGAAACGAATTATTTTCTCTGGGACAAAGCTCCATTATTTTCACTGTATTATGCTTATTATAACTCAAATTTTCGACGAAGCGTTGATCAGCTATCCCATTTTAAATGGTATATTTTATGTTTACTAGTGTAACCAGCCGCTACAAGACTGGTGACAGCTACCTAAGCCCGGGCGTATGTCTATGTGTTAATTCAATTGTTAGTATTATATTCTTACATGTATTAAAATTACAAGGAAATTTGTGATGCAACAGTTCATTAGACAACAATTATGATTTTGTTGTATATATGTACATTTTGAGATCCTGTCGCCCATCTTGTGTTTTGTTCAAGTTGTTAGTAATGTTTTACATGACATGATGTAATACTGGTCCACCCTTAAATTGGCTACGTAATTAAACGAGGCATGACCCC